ATACAGAAAGGACCTAAAAAATGAGGTACACAATGAATATCTTGTCTTTCATAAAGAAAAAACAACAAATAAAAATAACTGAGCACTGATCTGCGCTGATTGATTTTGCCTCATTAAGACAGAATGTGACGACCTTCTCTGTACCTTTAAGGGCAAGTATTGATAACTCAGTATATCTCAACAAAGATGTGGGTTGATGACCATTAGATTCCAGGTTATTTGAAGGGTAGTTAAATAACTTCTGATGCACAACCAGTCATTTTGTCCTATAATCAGGCCTGAAATGTGGCAGACTCCACTCTGATCAGAAAACACTACTCCTAGTAGGGCTGGGCCATATTATACCGTTCACGGTAATACCGGTATAATGTTAGGCAACGATAGGAAAATGAAATATCGCGATAGAATGGGAGTAAAACGCGCATGCGCAGTGCCTTTGTTTTCATACGCACATGGCCGATTGTTGAGTGAAACAGATGAACCAGAATTGGTTTGTAAAAATGGTGCAACTTCCGTGATGTGGAACTGGTTTGGTGTTTGTCCGTCAGATACACAACAAAGCACATTTTTTTGCAGAACATGCAAGCAGCCGTTGTTATTGTCATATTTGTCGGACTAAGATGCTCTTAAATCTGGGAGTAATCTGGGTCCTAAACTCAGTATGCTTCAGGTCAAACAACACTGCAGCATCACTTAGAGTTAAAAACTGTCTAAATTCTTTCATCTTTAATAAAACGATCAGCATTGCTGCTTTACCAGGTGTAACTATAAAGTTTAACTTCCAGGCATCCATGAAAACAAAAGTTATTACATTTAACGGAGTTAGAAGTTAGCAGGAAGCTAGCGGAAGTTAGCTCGCTAGTTTCGCTAGTTACCTAAGCATGATATTGCATGTTCTGACTGAGAGATTTCTGAAAAAAATCAAACGTACAGCTCTGCTATCACTTCCAACATAAATGAAGACAGGAAACTAAACAGCAGCGACGTTTGCAGGGTTACTGAAGTTGGGCTAGCTGGTATATAATGATGTGCTACGTGATCGCTAGCGACACAGCTATGTTAGCATAACATAAACAGTGAAGCTGGAGGACGAACACTAACACTTTTCCACTTATAAAAGTTAACGTGAAGGTTCTTCATGGTTAGAGACAAATGCAATCGCATGGCAGGATGCTGTAAACGGACCAAACTTCAGTCAGGAGAACAACTGAGATAATCCATCCACAATACGAGGTTAGTCATTAATATACTGCAGCAACATGGGAATAGAGCAGCTGCAGAGAATTCAACATTAATGAATCAATGGTACAGAAGTGGAGGAAGCAAGAAGAATGAGTTTAATAAAGTTTGATTTATCTGACTGCTTTGTTTCGCTTAATGTGCCTTATAATCCCGTGCACCTTATGGTCCGAAAAATACGTACTGCACACTGCAGTTTAATGTTGCAAAGCACCTCTTTTTAACTTCAGTGGATATTATACATGGTTATGCTCAGGATATGTCAGCCCATTTCTACTGGAAATGCCTTTTGGTTAAACTTTCAGCAAGGAATTTGCATTTGCACTGTTACATTTTTATAAAGCTTTAATGTACATAAAAACCAGCTTCTTGTTTAAGTGAAAATAAATGGAAGGTTGTCTTTTTGCGCTAGTAATGTTGTGGAGTTGTATTTTGTCTCGCATCAATTATATCGTCGGTTATATCGTTACCGCAAATTTTCAAATATATATCGTGATAAATATTTTTGGCCATATCGCCCTGCTCTAACTCCTAGTAGGGTTTTAATAGGTAAAGACACCAACATTAGTAGAATACGCCTGACCTGCAGCTTAGAATGACATATCATAAACACGTTAGATAAAACAATACTTTTCCCTCCCAATAGCAAACACTACTTTTTTTTGCCTCACATGTCCTGATTTCCTCTCTTCACACAGTATCTATGAATAAAAGCAGAGCAGAAGGCGTCACAAAGGTAATCATCTGCCTGCTATGCTGGGACCGCAGGCTCCATTTGGCAGGAGCTGAGTGAATATATCTCATCGGCGGAGCAAGTTTGGACTTCCCATCGTGACTATAAACAACTTTAATGATCTTGAGCTTGCTGTGCGGCGCCTGGCCTCCCGTATACTTAATACACAACTGTAGCATCCTGATAAAACAGCATGGAAACAAGGGGAAGAACCTGCTCCGAGTCGCTCAATCTGAGCTGGGAGGAGATAGGATAGCGCACACTCACTGTGAGCAGGTTAAGGCACAGAAAGCTGAGGAGGAAGATCTAAATTGGATCTCTGCTCCTGGGCTGCTCCTACCCTGATGGAGAGGAGGAGAGCAGGCTGGGAAGAATAGAAGAAACAAGAAAAAAAAGACCAGGAAGAAGAAAAGGTAATGCAGAGCAGGAAGAGTCTGATTCTGCAGCATCTTTTCTTTCTCCGCCACAGCGACACACAGGAGTGCACACAGAATGCACATAAACACACACAATAAAGGGGAAAAAACAGATAAGGCCAATAGAAAATCCTAGACAGCTGATAGGATCATTTAAGGGCTAGTAAATTAGAGGAGAACACTACAGTGAAGTAAGGATGTCAGACAGGGCACAAGAGCGACGAAAAGAAAAAGAAAAGATACAAAGCAGAGGACAGAATGAGTCAAAATGGAGAAAAAAGTGAAAATAAAGAGGACAAAAGGAGGACAAAACTGGAGGCAAAATATAAGAAGACAAGAACAGAAGAAGCAATATAAATAAAGAAATGGGAAAATATACTGAATAGATTTGAATAAATGACATGAGAAGAGAAACGACAAACGGAAGCCATCAAGAAAAGAGTAAAAGTAGAGACGAGAACCACTGCTGGGTAAAGGGGAAAAAAATCGAAATGTAGAAAATGCAAGAATGCATTAAAAGGGGAGAGAGGGCATAAAACAGAGAAAAGTGGAAGAGGCTAACCAAGGAAATTACAATGAAGAGCAGACAAAGGAAAGACAAAATAAGATAATAAAAGCCCGAGATTAACAGAAGAGATGAAAACAGGACATTAAAAAAATGAAAAGAAAGGGCAAATGATAAAGCAAAGAAAGCAAAATGAATTAAATGAAGATAGAAGAGAAAAAACAGTAAAAGATGGTAAATTACAAAGAAGTTAAAAGAAGGCGAGAAGAAGAAAGAGGGACGAAGAAGGAGGCAGTAGGGAAGGGAATATTTAAAGGAAAGGAAAGATGAGAAGAGGAGAGAAGAAGTGAGGACAGAGGAGCAGAGATGTGAAGAGGCGGCATAGTTTCTGTTCAAGCAGGGGTTTGATTAGCTGCTGATCTTCCCGAGGGGCCCCGCAGCCTTTGCTAGAAGTAACCTTGTGCTCATGATCCAAGCCCCTTGAGATGCATGGACCCTGTCAGAGCCGAGGGGCCCTGAGCTAGCCTGCTGCACAGTCCTATAATTCTGAGCTGCATCTGCATTCAGGGGTCATTCATCACAAAGCGCACAGTCACAGGTATGCCTGCCTGCGGCTCTGTGCCGTTGTATACTAAACTGCAATTTCTATAAGTGCACGATTCCTACTTTTAAATGTTTTCTGCTACTGCATCTATTCTCGGCATCTGCATTTCAATCCACTCCGACTTCTACTGCCGGCACGTTAAACTCCGCTCTATAATGAAGTCTTCTAAACCTCCATCTCTACCTCACCTTGACCTTTATGTTTAAATCTACCCTTCTACTACTTTCAGCACTTTCTCTCTACACAGATTTCTTTTCACCGTACCTATAATTCAGAATGTTGTGTGTGTGTTTGGAGGGGTGGCGGGGATGTTTTCACTCAAAAAGCCGTCAGGATAATCAAGTCACGACTCTGTCTGAAGTATTCGGTTCCCACATGTAGCACGCAACAGGAGATGGTCTGCATCAGCGGGAATCTCACTAGTGGAAATATGCCCTTTGAGTTATTTGAGAGTGTGCAAGTAGCAGGATGCAACCCTTTGGTAACAGTAAAAACACTGAATCATTACCAATGGTCTCATATAGGCACAAATTGGTGCAATCTCACATCGCGCAGACTGTGCAACAGAGCTACCGAAGTCGCTATACCGAAGTCCACTGAGCGATGATCAAACTGAAATGGACGGTATCTGTCACGGCTGAAGTGCATGCATGTGCAAAAAAACGGCTGTGCAGTCACTTGCCAGAGTACTCAAAACTGCCTTTAAGGTAGTTCCCGAATGAAATCTTTACCAGTTTTTATGCTGCACTCCAAATATGAACGAGTAAACTTGCTACCTTTATTTTCTGCTTGTCCATCAAACACACTGATGCACTAAAACAAGTGTGTTTTCTAAGATGAAGATTATGATTTTATTGTTACCCCCTAATTGTTTCATTATCTTCATGTCTGCAAACACTTTGCGTGAGAAGGTGTCAATTTTTTTTAATCAAATGAAGAATATCTCAATGTGGGAGGTAAGTACTGTCTTAATCAGCAGAACCGTATTCTTGTCTGCATGTATTTAACTCCTGGGTTAACTCAATTCATTTCCATTAGAATTCACAGGCTACCCACATAACCTGGAAATAACTGGTATAATGTGCTGTGTTACTCATTGGCAGCCCACATTCAACATCATCCAACCCTCGCACTGTCCCGGCAAATGCACACTGCATTGACCCTCATTAGATGTACTAGACCTGTAATGCACTTCAAACTCTTCTTCATAAGAGAGCTCAATTTGGCCTTCTTGGCTTGCTGAAAACTAATGAGATCTCCTTAAAAAAAACATTCTTCAGAGCCAACATTGACGTAAAGCAGATGACGTGCAGTACATCTCTCCCTGAGCATAATCAAAAAAGCAGCCAAAAGACACAAGACTGAGCTCCCACTTGAGGGCAGATGAGTGACACGGGCAAACATAGATGGAACTTTCCTGCCTGCGGTAACCGTCAACCCAGACAAGAGAAGTAGATCTCTGGGGTTCTGTGTTGATTGCTTTAAGGAAAAGGTTGCGCTAACCTTGACGTTTCCTCCTATGAGGTCAGGCGGCTCCTCCTCAGTCTCCAAGGCGACGTTGATGGTGGCAAAAGGCCGGCTGGCCATCTGCTGCATCTCCCTCAGCAGTTGCTAAGAAAAAGGAAGGAGAGTAATGCGAAGGTCAGTGACAGATAAATACCATCTACTGTCCATTCTCCAGACAACTGCCCATCAGGAGGTGGGCTTTTTTTATTTTTAAAAATGACTTTTCACACACACAACCCAGCTAGCAGAAAACATTTAGATCGTTCACTGAAGTAAAAGAGTGAGAAGTCCACTTTGACCGCCATTAATTTAATTTGTATCCACTTGGTTGTACAGCCACGATCTGTGTACGTCTCTGTGTGTATTCTTTAGTTGTGTGAAGTTTGATTTCACACTCGGGGGATCTTTTCGAACAGTGGTTCGTGTGTTTTGTTCAGTGAGCAAATTGTAGCCACGCCACCAACAACACAAAATTGGAAACTGTCAATCTAAACACTGTGGTGAAACATATGTACGACAGTAACAAATAACAGCTAACCCTAGCACTGCTCACCAAGCTGTGAGTATTTCACTATGGAGCTGAATTTAACCAGTACAGAGGTACTCATTTTCTTCCATGCAGTGAAATAAAGGTTAGCACAATGACTTTACGTTAAATCATTGAGGCCACTGTTGTTGTGATTTGGCGCTATACAAATTGAATTGAATTGAATCCTGGTAATCCATCCTACAGTCCTGCAAATCAATCAATGCGTGTTTGACTGATCTCCATTTATCTCATGAACATCCACCTGTGAGTGTGACACCTTTGAATTTGGCAGATAGTGTGGATTAAACCTTTGACTGTGACATCCACCTTAATGCTGACATGTCTGTGACAGCAGACACTGAATCAGGTTTTAAAGTTCATGTGACGAATATCCGAGAAGCTTATTTCAACATTAAGCAGGCAGGGAGACACATTAATCAATCACACACAAATACAAGAACAAGACTGACTTTGAGAGAAATACCTGCCTCTTTTAAATGCATCACTATTGCACCATCTGGTTTCTAACTGTAATTGCCTGCTGCCTGGTGGATGGCCTGAACTTTTGTCCAGCGTGATTCTGTGTTTAATCAGAGTTGCATCCATCGATTCATTTGTAAATAAATGTTTAAATTTAAAAATAAATGTTAAATCAGTGGATCCTTAAGTATGGAAAGAATTTATTACCCAGACCCGCAGGCTGGTTTGATCAATGACTTTTAATATTAAGAACTTTTCAACCCAAAGGCAGATTTTATAAAATCTTTAAACTGACATATAATGTATTTAATGAGGCAAGAAGCCTGTAGCCTAAACTATTTGTAAAGTTTGCCCGATTAGAAGGTTTCTAACAAGCTTTGTTATCCTTCAGTATAATTTATACGTAAAACCTGCAGAATACTGCAGGTAGTGAAAAGCATTTCTAAATTTCCCTGTATAGCTGTCAGAAGCACAAATTGTATGATGGTAGCCATCACTGACAAGTAGAATACCTTAAAAGTGCAGTTGAGGAACTTTTTCAGTAACTTTCCTCCACTGCAAAACAGAGGAACAGGCTCATTTTCTTCTGATTTATAGCATGGACCTTGGCCAAAGGGAAAGGAGGAGGGAGGTGATTATGAGGAATAGGAGGAGAAAAAGGACAAGAAACAGAAGCTAAAGAATGAGAGCAGACAAGGAAATAAGGAGGATTGCAATAAGAGGAAATAGGGAAGGTGAAAGATGGGAAGTGTAGCGGTGCAAAAGATGCAGACTGTGAGCAGCAGAAAGGTAGGTCAAAGCAAGGAGAGATACAGATCAAGAGGTTGAGGAAAGCAAGAGACAACAGTAAACAAGGTGATGCACCCATGTCTTCGACTGTCAAAGCAGCCAAAGCGCTACGAGTGCAGAAACAAACGGCCTCGACTGTCAAGGAACCGGGACCTGAACCCAGGCAGCAAAACCAGTGAAAGAAAAACACCTGTAGCTGTCATAAGAGCAGGAACAACATCGGCAGAAATGAGGCAAAATAATATTAATAATGATAAAAAAAACATTTGTTTGAAATGTATTTGTTATATACAGGATATAATAAGTCAAACACCTACAACATAGCTTTGTGTGTGTGGAGTTAGAAGTTAGGCTTCTGTCTCATTACAGTGGGCTCTTGTCAAAAAAAAAAACAAAAGGTGCAAGTAAAGGGCAGGACTGAGATTCAACTAGAAAGCGCACACAGAGTAGAAATCACACATGGCGCTGGTGTGACAGGAGGATGCTGATCCTTCTGTGAACCCCTCAACAGCTTTCAATTAATATGCCGAGTGTTTTCATCCTCTCTGAGGATGTCGATTCTCGTTATTGGCATTGTTAGCGTTTTCTCCCTAAATGCGACGCCTTATAATGATATTCTTAACACGGGATACAGAAATTGCTTGAGGGAAAGTCTCTTTTTCTTTGTATAGTAAAGCCAAATGAAGAAAAACGGGCTCTAAATATAACGTCCTGGATTCTCTTTGTGGCGCAAGCCAGCTCATTAAATTCTCGTATGCGTCTGTGGATGCGTGCCCATATCCAAATCTCCTCTGCTGTAACAGCTGGGCTAGGAGGAGCTGGGATGGAGCTGCATCTTATAAGGTAATGGTTTTATCTTAAAATGGTAAAAAGTTTTAGAAATATTAGCATTCTTGCCATTTAATAAATGAGACTAACAATGTCCTACTCTCTACTTAATTTTTTAGCTCTAGCCAGGAATCAGTTACCTAAAGAAAGAGCTCCACTGATTCTGTCATGTTGAGTTTCTCAACCCATCACCTACCCCACAGCTCGTGTTTTACTGTCTATTTTCCTGTATCCGTCTTATCACAGGTAGCTTCTCAATTGAAGACGAGCAGAAAGAAAGTAGGAAGCTGTGACTTGCAGCCTGGAAATACTGTAGCAATTAATCCCCCCATAAACCATAACCTGTCCTATTTCCACTTTCCACAGTTATTATACGCAACACAAAAAACAAGACAAGATGCTAATAAGTGAGCTTTACAAAAACTAGCAAGTAGATTTTCTCCTTTATTAACACTTTACAGAGCCAGGGTTTCAAATATTTATGAAAAAGACCATTTCAAACCGTCGCCTACCCCTAACTTTATATTAAAAAGACACACCTCCGTAATATATCTTTCTCATGTAACATTTACAGTCAGTCAGGGAGCAGCTGACGAATGAACAGAAAGGTTACACGATTGTGACAAGTCTTAAGAAATGCATCAAAGAAGAAAAAAAAAGTGCAATTTCCTCATCTTTGTTTTTTTCCAGAGTTCATAAGTCTGTTTTTGACAAGAAAATTCTTGTCATTTTGTATTATTATAACAGGTTTTACAAATGTTTAGTTTGTCATAAAAAAAATTAGCTGGTATGTATTAAAAAAAAATCAGTTTAATATGTAACACACATGAGTGCAAACACACACACCATATGGTGAGAACATGTGCTTTTTCAGAAGTACTCTGTGAAATGACTGCAGACGGTTTAATCTCATCTGATAGACACAACCTAACAGTTACCTGGATCCTGCCTTCATGAATGACTCATCGTTTTCCTTTTTTTCCCCTCACATTTCCCAACTGCCCACACGGTCATTCACGTTTTATGAATCGACAGTGTTGGCGCAGCTCGTTTATCATACGAGTTATCAAACAGCTTTGTTAAGAGAACTTAAAAATAGTTCTGGCAACAGGAAGTTTGCATATTAGCAAATTAGTAAAAACATTAAACTGCTTAACAAAAGGCGGTAATAAAAGGACATTTTATGGAGGAGGTACTGCATCGAGGAGGGGGGTTTATAAAAAGCTGGCAGCTCTAACAAAAAGAAACCAGAAACCAAATCAATCATGACAAGCTAAACTGCAAGAAGATCCTATAAATAGAAATGGTGTGCCGTATGATCGCAGACTGACGCCCATAAAGTATGCATGAATACAAACACAAAAGCAGATAGTTGCCTCGTTACCATGAACACAAATAAAAAGAACAGGCTTAAGCATCTGATGTGCCCAGTCTTAGTTTTCCCACTCTTCACTGCCACTGCAGCAGCCACAGCCCAAGAACAAATGAGAACACAAACCAGCAACTCATTGTGCTGAGTCGCGATTTGTCATGATTAGATACCCCGCTGTGTGAAACATCTGAGAGCCAAAATATGTAGCCTTTGTGGGTGTGATGAATGGCGGGGTCCGTGTCGACGCAACGTGCGGAGAGGTGCAGAATTTTTCACATTTCACCACGCGTGTTTAGGCGTGTTACAGGTGCACATGCCTGTGCACATTATGAGCAGTGACAGGCAGATTCACTTCTGTTTTCTCGCGTCCTTTTTTTTGCAAAAAACAATCATTAATTCATGTACACAATATTAGGCAAGTGTTTTTAATGTGGCTGATCACAATAATGGCATGGCTCTTGTAACCTGCTGTCAAACTGTAACAGGAATAAAAAATTAAAGGTAGGTAACAGGTAGGCTGAGAGTTGTGATAGGCTCCGCCCCCCGCAACGCCGAACTGGATAGGCGGTTCTGAAAATGGACGGATGGGGACGCATTTTGACGGTTGCACCAATTTTGTCCTCTCATCTGCTCGTTGTGACAGAGTTTCGGGATGAGCGAGGGTCACACAGCTTCTTTACACGATGCCTTCTGAAGTGCAGGTAATATTTAGAGGTATTTCCTGACAGCTGCACAAGTCCAGCTAGAAACTTTGTCTTTGAAATGGGAACATTTTAGGTTTAATTAGAATGAATTGAAGAGAATGTGATCCCATTATTGGCGACAAATCAGTGAGCGATGGAAAAAATTACCTAAACCAATGAGAGACAGCCCATTAAGGAGTGAATGACACTATATTTCCCCTCATGATAACCATGTATTATTGTTAACAGAACCAACTGTGTGCCAATTAGCCATTTAATTTAGAGTGTGTGCGCGTGTGTTTTTTCTTTTTGTTTTGCGATTGTTGTTCTTGAGATTAGTGAGAGTGTCTTCTGGCTAACATAGAAAGCATTATCCAACAGTGTTCTGTCAATGGTGGGAGAAACCAGAGCTCCTTGTTTTAAC